GTTTTCCTCCAATTCTGTACGTAGACAACAAGGCCATGCTGGCCTTGTGTCGGGAGCACAGACTGGAGCATAGAACGAAGCACATTGCTCTTCATTACTTCCTTGCTAGTGAGCTGCAGCAGCATGGTCAGTTGCGCCTTGCTTACATGGCCACTGAGGCCAACACTCCTGATATCTTTACCAAGGCACTTCTGCCTGGTGATCATTAGCGCTTCTGTACGATGCTAGGTCTTGTGCCTACTTGGCCTCACTTGCTCACTTCTTGACCTTGCTTGTACTGTGATCTTTCTATACCTGCACTTGCCTGTTTACTTTTATATATGAGCTTGCATGTGAACTGGCCTTTTGGCCTTGCTCTTGTGCTCGGATTGTGTGGTGACGTTGTGATCCATCCTGAGCTTGCTTTGCTTTGCTTGACTGGTCTTATGACCTCTTGTTCTCCCCCAATTTGCCTATGGGGGTGTGTCAAACTCATATACTATAGTATGTGTAGGCTGTAGTGGGGTAGACTATATGAGGTACAACATTTCTAGGTTTTACTACTTGTACCCACCTCTTTCCTAGTTCATTCATTCCTCATTTCTTCACAAGTTGCGCATCTGCAACTCACTCGGTCAACAACCTTCGGTGCCTCCTTCAACTCCAGCCGTCACAGCGACAATGTCGCCACCTTTGGTCGCCAACACTTCGCAAACTCTTGCTTGCATCCGATCCAAGGATACAGGATATGGATCAATTCTGAGTTTCATGGTGCGTCGTAGAGGCATTCACTACAATGACGGAGTTCAATACCCGCCAATCGCTCCAATAGAGCCAATGACTCCGAGCCCCAACAATGACCCCCCACTCAATCTCCCACTTGACTTTGAGTTGCCTCTGAGCACACCGTAGCCTCCTCCAGGTTTCCTCGCAAGGCACGAGAGTGATATTTCGCCTTATTGCGTTGATGTTGATTAATTATTACTGCAAAATTCGCCAGCATTGCGCGACGAAGCCGCGACAACTTTAACACGTGATACATTGATGTTTGCTGCAGACAACACATGGTGGGGTCACCGAAATACATCAGCAACTCGAAGCAGATGCGACGACCGTGCGAAATCAGAGCCGCAAACAACAATCGACTGCAAGCTTACAACATCGGAGAAGTTTACCTCGAGTCGGATGACACCCGCGCATACCATCCACATCGGAGACGTCCTGGTCGTCGCTGACCTCCATTTTAATCTTCTCTCTACAGCTCAACTCATGTGCGGAGTTGACACCCGAAGTAACTGCGAAGAGAAAAGCTTCGAATTGTATTACAATAACATTTATATCGGGAAGGCAACCGACAAAGACGGGGTCTTCGTCTTAAACTTTTCATTGCAGGGCAACACTATGACTCGAATAGAACACTTCTGCTGAAGATAACACCCACCGAAACGCCGAAGTGGTTACATCCCGAAGAAATTGATCTTGAACGCCCCGCATCAGATGGTCTTCTCTGCCTGCACACCGTTCCAACCGCTTCGACCTCCACTCCCGGAGTTACTGGATCTGCAACGATGGAACAAGAAGCAGATAGTGGGAAGTCATCAATGGCAGGGCAAGCTGGTACTGGAGGATGGGGAACTTTGGGAGCAGCTGCTCTTGGATGGACCAACACTTGTGTCACAGATACCGGCGATAGGAGTTTCCCGCGGAAGCAGATGGGGAGCGTCAGCTTCTCAAGGCGCTTGGAGACCACCAAGCCTTCCTTATCCCGAAGTCCCGACACTCCTTGAAGACGTGGCAGAAATAGATCCATACTGGGCGTTGCGCCGGACCAGTTGGCGTGGACCTCCTCTTCCAGATCAATATCTATAAGAACCTGCAAAGGAGGAACGAGAAGAGTCAGAAGGCATGATCTACAACTTTGGAGAAGCAGCGGAGGTACCCGAACCTACCGAGAAAGCGCCACCGCCGGAACAAGGACCTTCACTAATCTCCATCACCAGCAATGAATACCTTTATCATCGTATTTCAAGTGGTCAGAAACAACGCCGCCTCAACAACTCATGTCAATCACCGACGACTCCATTCACGTCGTTGACGCAGACGACATCATCGGCATCAACGGAGCCAATCTTCACCAAGCATCAACCCAAGCCTTCGCTGTCGATGTACGCCCCACCGCCGACAAAGGTCCCGTAACACCACAATGGAGGAAGAAAAGAGAAACAAGTATTACAAGAGGACAGTCGGCTATCATGTAGAACAAAAAATATGGCACCAACGGCTTGGACACCCATCACACGCCACACTAAAAAACCCCATCAAAGCAGAAGTCTTCAACACAAACGTGTTACTCATACCTGGCGGTGACACGCTCAAAGTGACAACTGTTGATCCTCCGTGCATCGTTTGCCCAACCGCGTCACTCACTCACAAACCCTTTCTGGACTTACCTCCAGGCTAAGAACGATACAAACTGCTCGAAAAGGTCCACAACGAATTCATTATACTTAGCCAAGAAGGACTCGACGGCGAACAAAACACCATGACGTTCATTGTGTCAGTAGATCTGCACTGTGGATGCCCGATTGATCCTGGAGAGGGTTACAGGCGCGTTCGCTTGGGGGGTTATGGGCGCACTGACCCGCTACTGAAACAAGCCCTTTTATCCCAATGGTCTAGTGGTTGGGACTCTGACACATTGATTATCGCTCGCGATGCTTCGACTCCTTCATGGCATGGATGAAGCAGGCCGAACGTCAATAGGGATTGAAGCTGAATAGCTTCCAGACAGATAGGGATTTGGAGTACTTATCCAACGAGTTCAATGAGCTCTTCGCCAAGAAATGGATTGAGCACCTCGTCTCCGTGCCCTACGCACACAATCAGCAAAGAGTAGCAAAATGGACAAACAGGAGCCTCGCCACAAGATTGAGGGCCCTGGTGAAGCAGACTGCCATCTCAACAAGGTTTTGGCCATTTGCGATGAACCATGCCATTTGGCTGCACAACTTGCTGTCCTCTAAAGCCTCGAGAATAACACCTCACCTTACAAAGCTTGGACGGGCAGAAAAGTTTACACACGCGTGCTTCAGGTATTTGGCTGCATGGTACAAAGATTGCTTGAAAAAAAATCTTTTGAAACGATATCCCCAAAAAGTGAAACTGATTATATAGGGTTGCTACGCAACCCAAAAACGGCCTGACAGATTATGCGTATTTCATATATGTTTGACGATTTTGCGCACAGTAACGAAAAGTGTTTTCCTTGCCTGAATCCACAATGCAACAAAGAGTACAGCGAAATTTATGTGGGCCCGCCGAGTTACCCGGCCTTCACCGGGGCAGGGAGGTGCACTCGTAACTTTACCTCAACCAAGAAACAAAACCTGATCGTGATTTCTTCCCACCTCATCCCACCCCTTTGCTTCTCCCTCTCGCATACCTTGTCGCCACATCCCCATTCAAGCCTCGCCTCACCACCTCTCGAAGCAGCCATTTTTTGTCGCTCTGGCGCTCATCGTTACATCTCCACCTCACCAAACCACCAATTCACATAAGGGCGCGTGTCTTTTGAAATTTATATGCAAAACTAAGAGTTTATGGTTGAACTATACACAGTTGAACCTAGGTCGTCCTAGGCTTGACAATCGGCAGCTGTAGCCCGAGTCGCTGCTCAACTCACAAATATCCCAGGACACACGAAAGTTCGACTATCGAAGTTGAACCTTCCCGAGTCGCGTCCAGACTCGTAGGCTACCCGGAACACTATTTTCTGAAGTCGCTCGTGCGAACGACATGTGCTGCGACTGTCGTCAATTTCGCAAATACCTAGTGTATTGTTAAAAGGACACACGAGTGAATTTTCGTTCACGCATGGTTTGAGCAGAAAGATTTAACCCAGGTTTAGTGTACTATATCTACAATGTTGTACTGGGACACACGATGCACAAGCGAACAAAATGGCGACATTCGCGAAGAGGGTTACCGTTTCAACCAGAATTTCGAGCCTTTACAGCAAAAGAAACGCGCCCTAACACTCGTCATCATGAAGCAGACCTGCTCCCTCTCGCAGCCTCTGTCCCTCCCGAATGAAACAGCTTCCACGATCAATGTGCGGCGCTTCACGCATTCCTGCTGTTGAACGCATCTGCCGCGCGTCGCATCGCATATGCATGTCACGCTCACGCCATTCGTTAGTGGCGAGTTCCGTCGTCGAGCGACCGTGTCAACGGCGATTGTCAACGGACGGGCGACGTGTAGCCTCGCGGAAAAGGCATTGCGTAACGGTATGTTCTGTTACTGTCGACTAGTATCGGAAATTTGCTTCGGCATAGTACTGTTCATCGTGAGATTTTCTGCCGGGGCAATGTTCCGGGTACCTACTGCTAGTACTAGTAACACTGGGCAACGAAACAGTTTCCGTCCCCATTTCTCCCCGCGCACTGGCCCGACCAGTCACGAGTCTTCCTCTCTCCCGTCATGCAAGGTGGCTCAAACCTCTGAATTTAAGTCAGCTCGTGCACCCGTCACACAGCCCAAGATATGCACATCTCTGAGACGCTCACGCCTCGACGACTCCTTTCGTCTTCTAGCAGTGCCCGCTACTACTGGCGCTGCCGGGACTCCCGGAGCGACTAGGCGTGTAATACTGGCCGAGAAGAGCGGCGTCGTTCGTCGTCATGGTTCCCGACACGGACGACACGGGCGGCACCTCTACTACTGCTGCATGCAGTAGTCGTAGAGCAGGAGCTGATCCGAGTCGCACCTCAAATGCTACTACTACTAGCAGTCGTGCGGCTCGGATCAGCTCTTGTTCTACGACTGCCAGACCCCAATCTAAGTCATTCCGCCCTACTAGCAGCGGCGCGGACGCGGTGAACTTGACGCCGCCCCTTCCCCACACCGGCGGACGCGTGTACGCCACCGTGGATGCCGCTAGCAGCAGTATCAGTCGATCTGCCTCCTACGGTGCTTCATCGCCGCGTTCTCGCACCGCGGAACCCCTCAGCACCGAGTGCGCAATGAACACAACTTCGTCATCGTCAGCGGCGGACATCGGCGTGGCGGCGTCCCCCTGGCTTCCGCCTGTTATTACTGCCGTCGCGCCGCGGCGGAGCCCGCACGCTGGGAACGCCAGCGTTCGGCAGAAACCGCGCAGGCTCGTACTAGTATCTACTACTGCTATTACTACTAGCAGATGCGATCTCGCAGATCTTGTGGTTCCGGTGGACAACACCTGCGGAGCCAGTTTTGCCGCGGTGACGCCTTCCGCCGCCGCGCGCAGCCCGCACGCGGAAGTTGTTCGGCGGAAAGCCGCGCCGTCGTTCGAGATGGACGCGGAGTGGCGCGACGATGCGGCGGCGGCGGCTTCCGCGAAGCCTGCGCTCAGCGGATGCTCAGCTGCAGAAGGCGCAAGCGTTAAGCAAGGCGGAGGCGACGAGGGTGCAAGAGCAATCTCAGGCGACAAAGGCGCAAAGACTCGGAAGTCAGTCGCGGAAAGCAGCGCCCCCCCTGAAAGCAGCGCCACCGCAGAAAGCAGCGCCACCGCCGGTCACTCGCCTGATGACAGCGCTGGCGCGGACGTCGGCCGGTGTTTCCCCCGCCTCTTGCACAGCGGGCCGCGAGCGGAAACTCTTACGGGTGGGCGGAAGATACGCGCCGGAGGTTCCGCCACAAGTGTTCCGCCTGTGCGCGGGGCTTCCGCCGACCGTTTCCGTTTCCTCCGCTCCCGGTCGACGTCGCACTTGGATGAGAGAAGAGGGGGAGGGGGAGGGGGAGGGGGAGGAGGAGGAGGGGAGCTTTCATTATTCGAAGGGGCGGGTGTTGAAGCAGCAGCAACAGCAGCAGCAACAGCAGCAGCAACAGCAGCAGCATCTCAGCAAAAGCAGGAACCCTCTTCTCCTGCCAACATCTCTTCAGCCTCTCCTCCTCTTGCCGCCATGGCATCTTCACCTCGCCATCCGTCCCATCCGCCTGTTGATGCGTCCCATTCGCCCCATCCACCCTCGTCGCATTCACCTCGACTAGTGCCCTCCCCTCGATCTCGACTGAGCTGTCACCTCGTCCCCTCTCCTCGACTAGCTCGCCTCCTCTTCACCTCCTCACCTCCCCATCGCGCCCTCGGTCCGCCGCCTTCGCACAATTGCCGAACCTCTCGCAGGGCAGCATCGGCGACAGAACGTGACTTTGTGGCTTTCGCGAATCTCGGAAATTTTGGAGATTCCGAGGGATTCGAGGCGTTTAAGGCCCTCGAAGCTGCAAGCTCTACTAGTATGCACGGCCATACTTCAAGGTACGGCTACACGGCTTGTATCGCGCCTCGGAGCAACCGCGTCGTCCGCAGAGCACAGTCCACCATAGAACGCGGCTCCGCCACACCCCCTCGCGCTTGCTCCGCCACATCCCCTCGCGCTTGCTCCCCCAAAAGTCGCTCCGACTCGTTCCGCCCCACGAGTGCCCGCGCCTCTGCTGCTGACATTGTCAGAAACGGAACCATCCGTGGCACTTATGATGAAGAGGAGGATACGCATGACGGAGTCATGACGGCGCGGTCAGTGCAGCGCGACGGGGCAGCAAGGGGAGTTGCTGTGGAGGAAAAGGGCGGTGCAGCAAGGGGAGTTGCCGTGGAGGAAAAGGGCGGTGCAGCGAGGGGAGTTGCCGTGGAGGAAAAGTGCGGTGCATCAAGGGGAGTTGCCGCGGGGGAGCAGTCACATAGGGAAGAGATCTGTAGCAAGCAATCACCTATGGACGCTCCAAGATTGTCCGCTGGCAGCACCACAACACCAACTGGCCAACACAACCCTTCCCCATCCAACGTCCCCAGCCCCCCTTCCATTACCACTCACCCAAGTCAACCCGACTCCGCAACCTCGTCCTCCAAGTTCCCCTCTCCCCCCTGCCATTGCCATCCCCCCACTCTCCCCAGTCCCAACCTCCCCATCTCCCCTCCCTATCCCCCTTCCGTCGGCCCATCCAAGCCCCCGCGATTCCCCACTCATTCCCCCAAGCTTTCCCTGTGCAACTCCATCCTCCAAGTTCCCCCATCCGGGCCTCCTGCTCTTCCCCCATCCGGGCCTCCTGCTCTTCCCCCATCCGGGCCTCCTGCTCTTCCCCCATCCGGGCCTCCTGCTCTTCCCCCATCCGGGCCTCCTGCTCTTCCCCCATCCGGGCCTCCTGCTCTTCCCCCTTCCGGGCCTCCTGCTCTTCCCCCATCCGGGCCTCCTGCTCTTCCCCCATCCGGGCCTCCTGCTCTTCCCCCATCCCGGCCCCCAAGCTCTTCCTCCATCCGGGCCTCCTGCTCTGTTGACAATCCCGGGGGGGAGCGGCTTGGTGAAGAGGCAGCAGGGCGGGTAGTGGTCCCAAGCCTGAGGGCTGGCTTTATCGGAGGAAAAGGGGATAGCCCCAGCCGCCCTTGCTCTGGTTCTGAGGCGCCTCAAGAAGAGAATCTGCACTCACACCAGAGAAGAGAGGGAGTTGGCGATGGTGGGCAAAGAGAAGGAGTTGGTAGTGGTGGTGGGCGAAGAGAAGGAGTTGGCAGTGGTGGTGGGCGAAGAGAAGATGTGCCCCACGGCTATTTTTCCTCACTGCTCCACCCTCTCTCTGTCCCAGGCAGTCTGAGAGTGGAGCAAGTTGCACACCAGTTGATGAGAGTGGGGCAAGATGCGCAGCAGCTGACAGGGATGCACCAAGATGGTCAACACTTGGTAAGAATTGACCAAGGCACACGGCACTTCACAAGGTCGCAGAGTGATGGGTGCAATCCCTTAAACGGCACACCGACTGGAAGTCCGGGTGGGCTGTTTGGAGCAAATGCAAGGTTTGCTGATAGGTCTGGTCGGCAGATGAGGAGTCCTGGAAGGGTGGGCAGGAGGAGGTCTCTTGAGTTGCAGCCTACGAAATCTGTCAGATCGGGTCTATTGGATGGGGGTGAGTTGGGAGGGAGAGGTGGCAGGGGACAGGTGGAGAGGGGTGCGGATGGGCATGAGTCGGCCGAATCAGAAAGCCCTTTTCCTCCCAAGAGCCCTGTGAAGTCTTGTTTATCGCTCACAGATGGGATTGGGAGTGGGGATGGGAGTGGGTTGGGAGGGAGAGGCAGGCTGAAGAAGCAAGTCTCGTTCAACCAGGTGGTGCGTGTTCGCCGGTTCCACTCGTGCGAAGATTTTCCGGACTTTGGTCTGGGTTGACATGGCATTAAGGATTTTCTGTTTTGTTTTGGGAATGTATTATATACCGGTAGCACATGCATTTGGTGTCAGCAATTGAAGGCGCACAACTCTGGTTACATAAGTTTGCAAGTACCGTAGTCTACTTTGGTTCCGGCGAACCTGCCCGCACCTCCACTTCTCCGTCTTCGTGATCGATCAAGCCAGCATTCCACTAGTCAGAAATTGACTGGAAAACCGAATGCTGCTCACACGTCCCCAAAACCGAAACAAACCGAAACCTAAGTCCGTGACAGTCCAGCAAGATATTTCGGAAACACTGTGGGTGGCAGACAGTTTGAGTCGTTTCTGATAGATTGTATGCGCTACACGGTGGTCAGAAATTTTCCTCATAAGCCACCTCTACCTTGATGAGTCCTCCCTCCTGGGCTGGCAGCTTGTTCTCTGAAGGAACTCTAGTAGCCATTTTTATTGTCCTGCTGCATTACAGCTTATATTTTTTATTCTGCCGATCCTCCTACCGTCTGGGATTACGGACTCTGTCCACCAACAATGATTTATCACGCGCTGATCATATCATGCTGTTGAGAATTAGAACGAGCTTGGCTTAGGAGCCATAGTAGTTTAGGTGACTTAGTGGTGAAGTTCGAGGGTGTGAGGAAAAATGTCGAGAGATTTTAGAAGGAGAACGTGTGAAACTAGAAAGGAGGGGGATAGAAGTAGTAAGCCCTAAAAGGATTATACTCACTTTTGAGTACCCCACTACAGATTAGACATGCATTATAATCTGACACACCCCCATAGTCAAAGTGGGGTATAATCAGTACAGCATGCAGGCATAGAGCAAGAGTTCACAATAGGTAAGTAAAGCTACAGCTAATCATAGAGGGCAAGTGAGGAGGAGAGACTGTGGGGGAGAGAAGATGGGAGGCGACTGCTGACGCTGCAGACACACAGACGAGCTGCTGGCTCAGTGGCTACCGAAGCAAAGGCCCGGACTACAGGAGTAATTGGCTCCGCGGCTATAGACGAGCGGCAGGAGCAACTGACCCACAGACGACTGGCGACTACCGGAGATTGTAGCCTCCGGACTGCTGGTGCTGCTGACGACAAGACTGCTGCCTCCACTCAACCTCCCCCAGCTGCCCAACGCCCCTCTCACACACCCCCTGCTCAAACCCTAGCCCTACACCCACAGCACCCCCTTAAACCCTAAACCCTAGACTCCCACACATCCACCCCCCTCAGCGATAGCTGCAGCAGTGGGAGACGAAGGAGGAGGAGGAGGAGGGGACGGCGCGCACAACCGACACCCCCACAACCATCACCGCCACACCCACCCCCCCACGGCTGCATCAGGTCCAGGAGCAGCTCTGGCTGGTGTGGGTGGGTCAGCAGGTAAGGTTCTGGGCGGTGCCGCACGATTCTGTGCTGTTCTGCGCAATTCTGTGCGGTCCTGCCCAGTTCTGCGCGGTTCTACACGGTTTAGTGCGGTTATGCCCGGTTCTGCGCGGTTCTGCACGGTTCAGTGCGGTGCTGCGCGGTTCTGTGCAGGGAAGAGTACCGGGTGGGGTAGCAGCTCTGGCTGGTGCGGATGGGTCAGCAGGTAAGGTTCTGGACAGTGTCGCACGGTTCTGTGCGGTTCTCTGCGGTGCTGTACGGTTCTGGGCGGGGGAGAGTAACTGGTGGGGCGGCTGGAACGGGTGGTACAGCGGGTACCGGGTGGGTCAGCGGGGACGGGTGAGACAGTAGCGCAGCTGACGGGCTGTGCGTGCGCGTGGCTATTGCTGTGCGTGCGTGCAGCTATGGCCGTGCGTGCATGCTGCTAATGCCACGCGTGCGTGCTCCTAATGCCGCGCATACGTACGGCTAATGCTGCACGTGCGTGCGGCTAATACTGCGTGTGCGCGCAGTCGCATGTGCGGCTACGACTTCACGTGCGCATGCGCCTGCTGCGCGCTAGCGGGCTGGCGAGCTACTCACGGGGCAGAGATCGGGTGAGGCGCGGGTGAAAAGCGGGTGACGCTCTGGGCTAAACGGATGACGTGCTCAGGGCAGTACGGGTGATGCGCGAGCTAAGGGGGGGTGACAGGGCGCTTCGGGTATTAAGTGGCTACGTTCCTAGGTCGGGGCACGGGGCGGTGGGCCCATAATGTCGACTAGCTCTATACCATGTCGAGATTAGAACGGGTGAAAATATTAACTAAGGGAAAAGAGTTACAAGAAGATATAGCTAACCCTAGGAATATGAAACGGTACACCTAGACTAACATAAACTAAACATATAAAATATATGTTGACACCGCCAGCGCCTTGCCCTGCGCCAGCGCCCTGCCCTGCGCCTGCGCCCTGCCCTACGCCCACGCTGCTGCCCTGCGCGTCGCGCCCTATGGCAGCCCGCGCATTGCGCACTGCTGCGCCGCGCGGCGCGCCCTACGGCAGCCCGCGAGTCGCGCGCTGCTGCCTTGCGTGTCACGCTCTGCTGCAGCCCACGCGTCGTGCCCTGCTGCCCCGCGCGTTGCACCCTACGGCAGCCTGCGAGTCGCACGCTGCTGCCCGCGCGTCGCGCTCTGCTGCAGCCCGCGCGTCGTGCCCTGCTGCAGCACACGCATCGCGCCCTGTTGCCTTGCACAGCGCGCGCCTTGCTGCCCGCGCCGCCCAGGCCCAGCCGAGCCGCCCTACCCGACCCGATCCGCCCTGCTGCTTATGCTACTGCTGCTGCTGGTGGAGGTGCTGCTAGGAGTGCTGGAGATGATGCAGCCTAGCTTCACCGAGCCGCTCTGCTGCCCTTACTGCTGCTGCTACTCCTCGTGCTACTGCCTTCACTTCGTATTGCCCTAGAGGTCGCGCTCCTCCTAGCTTGCCCGCCATAACTTCACTCTGTAGTTGCGGTGGGAGTGGTGACGGCGGTGGTGACAGCAGTGGGAGTGGTGGTGGCCGTAGTAGCAGTCACTGTGGCGCTGTTTGGTGTGGAGTTTCTGGCGGTGGCCAGATGTAGCTACGGCGGCGTCCGACCCTTACATCCCAGCAGCTTCGTGAGCGGCTTTACCAGCGTGGGACGTCTCCGAGTCCTGATTGTTGCCTGTATGTCATTCGCACAGGTCGTCGAGGTGGTCAGACTTGTGGGACACCTAGTCACGCACAGTCCCGCTGCTTCACCTATTTGAGTGACGCCTAGCACGCAGAGTTTGGCGACGAGGCTGAGATCCCCCCCTGGCTTCAGCTGCTTAGGTCGGGCATTGATGTCTTTGCTTTAGACTATGACGCCATCCTTACTGCTATGTATGCTTTGTCTGGTGGTGCTGAGGGTGACTGTTACCTCTGTGTGCAGTACGACCTCGGTATAGAGGTTGCTGCTCTAGGTGCTAGTGAGGCTGCTGCCTTAGGTGCTAGCGAGTCTGCTCTCTCAAGTACTGCACCTGTTGAGGCCTTGCACACCTTCACGCTTGACTCAGGTGCTTCCCGTTGTTTCTTTCGCGAAAATACCGCACTCACGCCACTCCCCGCACCTGTTTCAGTGTCTCTGGCTGACCCCTCAGGGGGCCTAGTTCTTGCAAGGTCCTCCACTGTGCTTACGTGCCCAGCGGTTCCGTCTAGCTCATTGTCAGGTCTTCACCTCCGCTCGTTCTCTACGAACCTGGTGAGCAACGCAGTCCTCCAGGATGCATGGGTTGATACCTTTACCCCTGGAGGACAGCGGGTGGTGATCTGTAAGTGCTCCCGGACTGGCCGTCACCTGGCCACGTTCATCCGTCGGCCATGGTCGAGTCTTTACACACTAACTACTGCGCCCCCTAGGTAGCTGCTACTGGTCAAGTGTCTGTGTCAGGTCAGGTAGCCTCCCCTTGTTCGTGTCGCTCCCTGTCACACCAGACTCTTCTCTGGCACCACCGCCTGGGTCACCCCTCCTTGCCACGTCTCCGTGGCATGCACCGTCGCCTCCTAGTGTCTGGTCTTCCCAGGTCTCTCCGTCCCCTCCTTGCCTCCTCTGCGCCGCCCTGCCTTCCTTGTGTCGAGGGGCGGTAGCGCGCCGCTCCTCACTCCTCCTCGTTTCCCCCGACAGAGGCTCCTCTATAGACCCTCTACCTGGACATGTGGGGCCGAGCCTGCGTTCGTGGACAGGGCGGTGAGAGGTACTTTCTGCTGGTTGTCGACGTCACGTTACACCACGGTCTTCCCCTTGCGCACTAAGGGTGAGGTCCCTGCCGTTCTGATCCCCTGGATCCGAGCAGTTCGTCTTCAGCTCTGCCGGAGGTTCCACCAGGACCTTCCTTTCCTACGTGTGCACTCTGACAGAGGTGGTGAGTTCACCCCTGACCTCTTGCGGGCCTTCTGTCAGGGGGAGGGCATCGAGCAGTCGTTCACGCTTCTGGGCTCACCACAATGAAATGGGGTTGCTGAGCGCCGCATTGGCTTGGTCATCGAGATCGCGCGTACCTCCTTGATCCATGCGGCGGCTCCCCATTTTCAGTGGACGTTTGCGATCTGGTACGCTGCGTAGCAGCTCAACCTCTGGTCCCGTGTCTCCTTGCCGGAGACCTCGCCCACACTCCGTTGGATGGAAAAGGTTGGCGATGCATCGCGTTTCCGAGTCTGGGGTGCTCGTGCCCTTGTCCGCGATACGTCCGCGGACAAGCTCTCCTTCCGCACCATTCCTTGTGTCTTCCTTGGCTTTGTTCCTGACGCGCCTGGCTAGTAGTTTTAACACCCCACCTCGCAC